ATATATATATATATATATTAGATGTAGTAAAAAGAAATCCATTATTTTTCCATTCAATTTCATACAAAAATAATGGATTTCGTTTTACTACACCTAATATATAGAGTGTAAAAAAACTTAACGCTATGTTTTATTAGCCTTTCACTTTCTGATCTGATCAAACTTTAAAAACTCAAGAAATTACGGAAGTAATATTAGATTAATTAAAGATTATTTAATCGTATTAAAAAAATCGCGATGCTAAAAAAAATAATGCTATGATAAACATTTATACGGACATTATATAAGGTTTTATAAAAGTTATCTTTCTGAAATTTTCTAAAAAATATAAAAAGAAGTAGGGACATAAAATAGCCGTCATATTATTATGATCCTAATGGATATGAAAATATTTTTGCCTCATTTCATATCATATTTCTTTATACCCTTATAGTGATCTCTATATACAAATTTGTATTTTAGAAGATCAAGATATTTATACATAAGGGATATTACATCACTATATGAAATCTTTTTTTTTTTCCAGGAAAAAAGGTTTCTGTAAATTATGTAAGGTGATTCTCTTCTCACGGCTATAAAAAGAGGTTTCGAATAAAAAGATTAAATATGAAATTTAGAAAGGTAATTTTAAAGGGAAAAAGGGGTGCGTTTTACATGTACTATTTTCTTATGTAATTTAGTTACGGCTAAACGCTGAAATACAGAAATTTGCACTAATACATAATTGTACTAATATATTTGTACAAATTATTTTTTTAGACTTTTCCTTTCAGTATTTTTTTGGACTTTTCCTTTCAGTATTTTCCTGTTTAATAAAAACTCTTGTCAAAATAAAATATAAAATAAAATAAAATTATACTTTATCACTATATTATTCTAGCATATTTGTTTGTTAAACATTTTGCTAAAACATTTTGTCAATTTTACTCAATCGTTTCGGATATAGAAGAAAATGACTACTTTGTTTATACAAACACATTTATTTCTCAGCAAGTTATATCAGCAGTTTCGTTCAGCTGTCGTATATAATGGAACGGTAATGTGATTGTCGCACCGTGGTTTCGATCTTCTACCATGGCACATTTAGCTACCGCAGCTTCATGGTGATGGACATACCTAATTTTACCATCACGTACGCAACTGACCGCATGCTGTTCTTGCTGAGAAATTAGTGTAGACCCTAGTACCCTTTCCGTGGTCGATAGGTACTACAGGTCAATAGTCTCCTTCAACGAATATCAAACACTTCAATTAGTAGACACATTCATTCCCCGTAGTTTATCGGAAACACAGAAAGCAAAATTGTGCTAAATTGAGGAAATTAGCATTTTCTCAAGTTAGCATAATTGTATTTTTACACGCGCTACATGCTTATCAACTGAAAAAAACGTTCGGAATATGGATAACACACAAAACAAAACTCGCGGCCTAAAAAAAAAAACAGATGTTTTACTTGCGGGGAAACAAAATTTAGGAGAGCAGAGAATATATTCATATTTTGAATATAGGAACAAAAGCAAATATATCAAAAATAATATACATATATTTTCTATATGTATGTATTTTATTTCTTCAAATATTTTTTATGTTATACGACGCAAAATTATGAATAGAATTCTGTGTCGAATTTGGTCGCGAATTATAAAATGTCTAAAGTGGGTTTAACATATGGAATATAACATATGGAATTTAAAATGGAACTGTAATAAAATTACGGTTTAACAAAGAAAATTATAAAATTCGTAACATGTTTAACATTTTTTTCTTCATGTACTATACCTAATATACATTTAATATTTGTTATATGAGAGATTCTTTTACAAATCGAACACTTAATATGGGGTAACATTTTTAATTTACTACAAAATTTTTTTACGCATTTTCTATATAATAAGTCGACACGTGTTTTGGCAATTTTTTTTGTCAATATTTTTGAAAATATTGAAGATTCAAATTTTAAAAACTCGCCTATTATATGCATTTTTTAAAATCGCGATAACTCCATTTCTATTCATCTTACGGAGTTCGAATTCATTTTAAAGATAAAAGAATTATCTATATTTACGTATTCATTATTACTATAATTATTGTAAATTATGATTATTATAAATAATTAAAATACTTAAAGTTTTCCTGCTCAAGGTCACCAAAATAAAAATTAAAAAAAAATACATCATATTTCTCGTTAAATTTTCTATAAAAATCATATTTTTTAAAATGATCATTTGATATTATCTGCGTGGGAAAAAATTTCTGCGGGGCGGCGATGAGCGGCTTTTCATTGTACCCTAATACCAGTAAGCAAAAGTAAAATATTTTTCATTGCACGAAATTAGTACAAATGCAAATATTATGAAACAATAAATATAAAATGTAATACATAATATTTAAAATAATAACATGGTTAATAAATAATTTACATTATTCGCTGATTTTCAATTTAGTTATTCACTTCTTTAAAATAACACATTACCACACTTCTTTCTTTCCTTATTTTCGATTCATTAACCTATGTCGCAGTCATATTATGACTGCAATCATTTGTTTTCTTTATTTTAAATTATTCACATTGTTATCATTATTATTAAAGTTATTATTATATATTATTATCATCAAAATATCATCAATTATATTAATAACAATTTTACTATAATCATTATTTTACCGAACTATAATAAATAAAAGTTGATTATATATATTATCTTTTTAAATTTCTTTTAGTTTCTTGCACACTTACTGATGGGTGCAGTATGACAGCTGACTCAGCAGCCAGCGCCTGGAAATTTTCTTCCACGCAGATAATATCAAATGACCATTCTAAAAAAATATGACTTTTATAGAAAATTTAATGAGGAATATGATGATATTTAAAAAAAATTTTATTTATGGTGGCCTTGAGCAATAAAATGACTTTAAATTTAATTGTTTATAATAATCATAATTTAACAACAATTATAGTAATAATGAAATATAGAATTCTTTTATCTTTAAAATGAACCCAATTTGGACACTTCGTAAGATAAATAGAAGTAGTTATCGATTTTAAAAACTGCGCATAATCAGCGAGTTTTTAAAATTTTAACCTTCCGTATTTTCGAAAATATTGACCAAAAAAATATTGCCAAAATATATGTCGGCTTATTTTATAATATAGGAATATTAAAAATAGTTCAAAATAAAAAAATGTGATCCCATATTTTTTACAAAATCCATTTGATTTGTAAAAGAATATCTCATATACGTTAAGATTTGATTATTGGAATCAGTATGCAATGCTTATGTTTGTTTTAGCATTTCTTCAGGATATTTGCAGTATTTACTGTCCATAAAACGTGGAACTCAGATCAAATCAAGAAAATATGTTAATCAATTATCAGACCACATGTGTTATTCATTTCTTTTTCGATACACAATGTTTGATTAAATCTCAAAAGATACACTACAAATAAAAAAATCTTTTAATTTCAATTTTATGAATTAACAAATAAAATGATATATTGCATTAACCATTTCCATTTTTAATGTCGTAAAAAATAGAAAAAAGTAAATGCAATAGTATTTTATTTCTTCTGGCTATGATATATGATAAAAGTTTTTTTAATCTACTTTGAGATCGAATCTTTTATTCGATTTTTATTTCTCTTTCTCCATTTTGTGAGCAAAAGCTTCTTTTAATGCTACTAGCAAAGTAATTTGTTAGTGTATTTATGATCATTGACAAATAGTTACTTACTGCTCAGTGTCTGTAGGATCGTCACTGGATGCACGTAAAGCTGTATATAAGGTGACGATTACAGCTGGCACTGGCCATCCGAGTCCCATCAGCCAATTCACTAATTTGTGCTCGCTAGTGAATGCACTCACTAGCAACGTATGCAGATAGAAGCCTTCGCAGAGCATCCAAGCGTAGTTTGTTAATAGAAAGTAATGAAGGACTACGTGCAGAACGCGACAAGGTATCTGTAAAGCACACGATAGTTCATGAACGCCTCTTCAAAGTCAGTCAAGTCGTATTCGCTTATAATAGTCAGAGTAATTGTAAGTTAAAATTTAAAGTTAAAATGTAATCCGACAATATTTTCTGATGATGCTAATAATTCTTATTTTTTAATAAATCTATATTAAATAAATTGTTATCATTTTTAATCATTTTTTAATCACACCAACATATTTACCATCAAAAAATATTTTTTACATTTAATTTTGTATTTGGCTTAATAAATTCTATTCTATATGTTCAACTAATTAAAAAAAAATTTTTTTTTTAAATATTTATTTTTCACTAACGTAAACAATTTTTAAAATTTTTATAAATTATGACAGTTTCATTTGTCCAATTTATTTATTTCTTTTTCTTTTTGATAAGAAGCTAATCCCCTTGAAAAAGAAAAATATTATATTAAGTTTTAAAGTTTTAATGATGGCACAAATACCATTTCCACTGTTTTAATAAGCATCTTGAATTACAAATAAAACATAGATCCTTATCTCCTTTGTATCTTTAAATATCTTTTTTTTTCATGGACTTTTATTAAATTTTTATTCTTAAAATACATACGCCATTATTAAGTAGTAGATCCGCATTCGCTACTATGAACCTGTACCAGATCAGCCACAAAGCATTGTTGAATGCGAACGACGTGAATAGATTCATATGCAGTGTAATCCGTGCGCATCTGAGAGATCTATAAAGAAAATACTCTTCTCAATTGCATTTCTTTAAAGTTTTTCCAATAAATCCTAATTTTATGTTAAAAGACAACAAAGGAAGATCTAGAAAGAAGTTCACCGAACAATTGTACGTGAATGACATTTGTCTAGATTGGATCATTATTTAAGCTAATTTGATATTTCAAATAGAGTGAATAGTCTACTCTCAATAATAAGATTTATATATAAGATATAAAACGTCTTTTATTTAAATTCAATAATTCTATAATATATATAATAAATCTATGAAATAACATTTTAATATCTCTATAAAAAAAAATCTAAATTAAAGCTTTTAATATTGTCAAATAATACGTACTTCTTTTTGACTTTCATCTTTTAAGATTTTTAAAAAGTCTTTTTCCAGGGAAAAATCTGCGACTTTTATATTATTAAATTAAAAAGTTATACCTTTTCTCACAAGCGATCTAATTTAGATGTTTTTCAAACGCGAGATACCTGCAAAAGTAATTCTCAAAGTTTTTGAATTAACGTACTTCGGATACAAATTTTAATATCCTGTTGAAGTAACACAGATAATAACAACATCAATAAATTTTTAACTTACCGAAAATACGTGAGAATTCCTAAGGAAAGCAAGAGAGCTACCAAGGATATTGCGTATCCCACCTCGTAGATTCCACTTATACTTTGCTGCCACTATAAGCAAATTATCAAAAATTTAAACTTCTTGCATTTCTAGACTGTTCCTGATCATTTTTAAAGTGATGCCTTAATTTTTATTAATTCGTATCAGCGGACGACACAAGTTATAATCCTAATATATCGTAGAAAATTTCACAATTTTAGATTAAGGGTCGACTACGGTGTAGTCGAGAACGAGTAATGCGAATCTGACCCCAATCGTTTCTTTGATTAATTATCATGTCGTTGCAATCTCCGTTGCTCGTGTACTATAGAAGAGACTAACTACCACCTAGATTTGTTATATAACATTAATTCTTTTTTAGAAAGCATTCTTTCTAAAATGTTATAAGTTATGTTTTAAGATAATATGTTATAAGATATAATATGTTATAAGATATAATATGTTATAAGATAATATGTTATAAGTTTGATAGATAATATATCTTACAATTCATGTATAAATACAAAATGCTTATGAAAATTTGATTAAAACCGTAAAAATGTATATTTTTAAATTAATACATTGAAAAAAGTTATAAAATTTTAAATATTTTTACTTAAATAGTTTTATTTAATAGTTTTTTATTTAATTAATACTAATTAAATATTTATCAAATGTAAATGTATGTTTATATTTTGTATAAGTATATATATATTAATTTTATTTTAATATCATTTCTTTAGTAAGTATTTACATTTACTACAAGTAAACGTTTAGTCAGTTACTATTCAAATATTTATGAAAATTTAATAAATTTTTTTCAGTGTATCTAAGTTTTTTACTAAGTACTATGTAAGTTCAATTACTTTCAGCGCGTATCAAACAAAAAAAGATTAAATAAATAAGTTCTTTTTTTAACTAATGATTGCAGAATAAAAAGATAGTGCAACTACATAAAACTTGACGTGAGAAAAATATTTAAAAAATTAGTTCATTTTTTGTATTCTTTCTTTCTTTTTAACATATTTCAGAGCAAAAATTTTTGGATTCTACGGGCACAAAAATCTACATTTGTTATTCAGGCCTGTTATAACAACTTTTCACTGTAAATGCATTCTCGTAACAATATTTATACTTGAAACTAGCTTCTAGAATCCTATGGATTTCGTGTATGCCAGAAAGTCGAGAAGCCTCGGAGCTTAGACTAAAATTATAAAAAACCTATACAAGTCTCTCACGCAAATCCGTTTGCCCATTTTTTCGTTCAAAATATGCGACGAGCAGCGCAGTCGTTTCGCCTAGTATAGTCGTTTTAAAATTCATCCGCTTACGAGATCCTCCGTGTCCCTCGAGCCCTCTCGCAACCAACATACTTCCTTTACACCGTCGCATGCAAATCTTGCCACATCTGCAAAGCAAAATCCGCTAGTAATAGGGCTTCGTAACGTTGTCCTATGTATGACAAATGTCTGCCTAGCACGAAGTGTTTATGAGGCTCGCTGTCCGAAAATCTGCCTCATGACCTGCATCAAGGACGATGAAGGCTTGGAAAATTAATCGAGCTTGTCTTGACTACGGAAGGAAAATTTAGATTTTGACCGAGCACCTGAATGTGTAATCCACCTTGTTAAATACATAAAGTAACTAGAGAACTTCTGGTTTGCGACCAAAAGAATCTATTCTTGTATCTATTAGAAATGAATGATGATAGAGAGGGAAGACATTAACCCGTTGTTCCCAATGGGCTTGGAAGAGCAACGTTATTCTTAACCGCCACCATACGAACGTTATATTACATATTAATGATTGCACGAAAGCCTACAAGTCTGCGAGTTCACAGCCAGCGCTACTCATGGATAAGGTAGTGCAACTTAAATTACATGCAAATGTAAATTAATATTTAACTCTGAGTGTATAAATCTCTTTGCACCGGCGATTAATTATAAGCGAACACTCTCAAAACAATTAAGAAGAAATTAACAAAATAATAAAAATTACATATATAGATACATGTAGCAAATAGATACTTTATAAAACTGTAATAATTTGTTTTAACAAATTACATATATAAATTTTATGAAATATTAATTTGTTTCGGCAAAATTGTTCGAGAAAGTAATCTAATTTTTCGTAAGTACAGTTTATTACCATATATTATCAAAATAATAATAATTACATATAAAACAGCGAGAATAATTTTACTTTAGATGAGATGAAAATAACATTTTAATTTTAAATTTCTTATTTGAGAAGTCAAGTAATCCATAAAGAGAGCTAAAGTATATCAAAAGGAATTGCAATGCAATCAAAAGGAATTGAAAGCAAAATACAGCGAGTTCGCATCTTTAATTAATCCATACCTTTAATCGAACAGATGAATATAATTATGAAAATTAGTCCAAACCTTTAAACGGTTTTCACGCTGTGCCACAGTAGTCGCCGCTAAATAATTCATGAAGTTAGAGTATGCAGTCTGGATTCTCTAGGTTCTATCTTGAGATTACACGGCACTTGATACGATAATAGTAGGTGGATACGAGCCTGGGTCTCTCTTCTTCGAGCCGGTCCAATCGGATTAACACGGGTTCCGGAAATTATACTGTTGCATGCGGAGACACGATAAATTTTATCAACGCGAACAAAACGATAATTGTATCCCGCCGCTTCGCTTAGTTTATTATGTATCGATAACAGGGATTACACTATCTCCCACACTACATTGCAGCTTATTGTCATTTGCATTCGCGATCCCGTTAATATTAGGAGACAGATGAATCCTCGATTTCGTACGTGTCGCATTGTCGAATTGAAATGGAGCTAACCCTGTTTACCGATCGTATTGGATTTGGTTCGAAGTTCGCGATGCAAACGCAATGAATTCTCTCAAAATGTAACAATATTATATAATATCATCAATTTGACAACGAAAGTTGCAAATCTATAAAATAATAAATCGAAATTATATAAATGTATTTACATTTCATATTGCGTATTGTCAATTATTATAATGTATTAAAATTACAGTTGTTTTCTACCTACGTTTTGATATTATTAGGTGTAGTAAAAAGAAATCCATTATTTTTGCATGAAATTGAATGGAAAAATAATGGATTTCTTTTTACTACACCTAATATAAAATATTTCTGATATTATGTATACATATATTTCTTGTTCATGTATAAATGACACTAAAATTTTATACTTAACTATAATTGAAATCTACTAAATTGCAAGTTTATATTTTATTGTTGCGAGCGCGATAAATTTGTATTTTTAATAAAGTAGAACAATAAAACTAATTATATTATTGGCATATGCATAGAGGGGAGCTTTCAAACAAAACTCTCCGAAATTTTTTCACATTCAATTATAAAAAACGCAACTTTATTTCTGACTCTGAATAAATTTTTTGTTGTCACATAAAATATTTCTTTCTCCCCATTACGACTATGTAAGTAATTTCTGGAACTTCCGTTAATTAGTTTAGACAGAGTGTATAAAGAACATTTTTGAGCTAACAAACTGATATATATGCGCTAAGATATTAATGAGAGAATTTCATATTTCGCCTATACTTTCTTCAGGTAAAATATCGTGATTTAAAAATCTAATATTCTTCTTATTTAAAATCAGGAACGAGAAGGAGACATTCCAAGCTCTGAAATATTAAAAAAAGTTAAATTAATTTATTAACGCGCTATTTATGTAATAACAAAACTGATAATGACCCTTTAAAAAAAAATTCTAAAATTCAACTATAAATTATAGGTGTTATATCAATTTCATGTATGCAAAATGGAACATATTTGATATATTTTCTCTAGACGCAATCAGTTGCGTGAATGATGTCTATACAACACGAATAATAATGCATTGATCGTTGTTCGTCCATTAAAAGATTTTTCTACTTTAGCCCAAAAGATTGATGATTTACAGGAATTTTTTTTTAAGAAATAATAAATAATAATCCTTGCAGAGATTTATGTTTCATGTTTTCATGTATGTTATCAGAAACTGACTATTTTTAAGGTCATACGTCACTATTCAATAACTTAAAACTTCAATTTTTCAATGAAATTTAAAATATTTTCCAAATATATTTTCTAAAAATATAAAAAAAAAAAAGAAAATCGATATCTTCTAAAATATAGAAAGACTTTAATTATTATTTATTTCAAATTCTCCGAACAAAATATAATAACGATTCTATAATGCGACTCTTCTATACGAAGAGTCAAAGGAGTTTTCTGAACTAAATGTAATGAAAATACTTTTAATTTTCTCTATGCTTCTCTTTGCCTGTCATTAGTTAATTCCTGTAATTATCTCTGTAATAATTTAGAACTGGAAATTTAAGAGAAAGTTTCGGACTACTTGTTTTCCATGCGCAGAATATAAAAGGAAGTTCAGAATTTTCAAGAATTAAATTTCAGAGCTGCGAATAGATAGCGAAATCTTGTTTATCATTTAAACACAAGTTATTGCAAACGGCGTTTACTTAACAAGACAACAGATTCTATGATAGTGCAATGTCATACAATACGTAACAGTTTGTTGCAAATTTTATATAATCAAATTATACAGCTATTTTGTTCTTAGTTCTCTCTTGTCTTTACTAGAAGTGCGATAATATCTATCACATATTAACTGCTATGTAAATTGCAAACACTATAATAAAAAAAAATGTAATCTCTATCTGAGTATATCTGAGAAATAATCAATGTCATGCAAATATCACATGACATTTTATAGCAAACTGTATATAACTAAGTTGTGCAACTACTATTCAGTTTCAGTTTCTTTTTGATAAAAGTGTAATAAACATCTGTCACATAAATTAGTCTGAAACTTTATGTGAATTCTTTCGCAGAATTTATTTTTTCTTTTGAAACATAAAAGTTGCATATTGCTAAACGGTATAAGGTATGTAATACATGCACATTCTTTGTTACACTGTATTTTCAATTACGGTATATTCTATGCAATTTCATAAACAATGCTTTTAATATAAATGCGCTGCAAATAATTTCCTTTTAAAATAATTAACAAACAAAAGCGAACAGATTGATACGTTACAGATTGATAACGATGAGAATTTCAATCAATTTACGTGCTTTCGAAGAACGAGATTACGAGTATACAATTACGTTCAATGTATTTTAAGTGTATTTATTTGCATAAGCCGTTTTCTAATTTTATGATAATATTTGTCTTAGAGTCCAGATGTTGCAGATGTTAGAAACGCGAATCAATGATGATGCGTAAACGTTCATCGTGTATAGGAATGAATACAAAAGCTTTTGTCGCACCGTCGCAGCACTACGAGCGCAAAGAATCGGTTTCATTTAAACATGCAATGCCACATACGCGAGGAGAATTCAGTTCACGTCAGACACGTGTGAATTAAAAACTCTGGAATAGACCGCCATTTCTGCGAGAGGCAAATATATCACTATGTAATTTGCAAAACATAAAAAAAGGGAAAAAGGGAGAGAAAAGAGAGAGAAAGGGTGCGCACAAAGAGTAACTCGGTTACAACGGTGTATCATTAGCAGAGTCTAATGAATCCGTTTGCAATTTCGTGTTTCACAGAATAGCTGTCGAGACTAGAAGGATTAAGTAAACAAGAAGATTACTCAAATAGAAATTATTCAGGCAGATTACATAGCTGGACAAGAATGAGGTAGCTGTGGTACATGCAAAAATATATTCTCCTGAGCTTTCCGCTAAATCATCTGGCCTCGTTCTCTGAACCCGAAAGATAAGTGCGCGTCTTATTATGGTTTATAAAATACTGCAGGATATCTTCCACTATCGTGTTTCCTACAATAAATTTCTTACATTGTACGAATGAGTATAACCGTAACTGATGTAATGAATAATCGCCTCTAAATTATATTTATACAAAAGAGCACTCGGAGATATATCTATAAGTGTTAAATTAATTTTCATTTGACTACATACTAGAATAGAAAATTGGAAAATAAAAATCATTAAATCGTTTTTCACTTTTTTCAAGCTTTCCACAGCTATCGTTCCATAAAAATTATTACTCGATGTCTCGAATTTGTTTTCGTTTTACTTTACGATAGCAAAAGGATTGCTGTAAGAACTCGATTTAAAAACGAATTTCGTCACATTATGTTCGCAATTTTAGTAGTCGAGGCAAAAAAGAGCAGGTATCGACATTGACATGTCAATGCATGTTAGAAGTGTGAAATACCTTCACGATGGATATTCGTGATGGATACGAGAGAGAAAGCGGCTTCGACGCTTCGAGCGCGATTATGACGGGCCACATTCTAAAGGATGATTACGTTACGTGTGTCGGTACCAAAATGAAGCTGGTCCTAATGAATAGAGCGCGGCTCATCAAATACATGAGAAGGGTTGACACAGATGGTGTTACGTAAAAGCGATTTCTCGCAAGCGCGAAACGGGAAACGCTTCATATTATCGTACTGTCTCGTATGCGTCAAAGGCATGTTACCTTCCAACATTAATCTAATAAAAAAGCGGTGTCAAAAAAATCTTTCTAAAGAGCGTAACCAGTGACACGCAGGTTGCGATTATAAAATTTATCTATCTCGACGGAAAAATCGCTTTGCCATTTAAAGGGTTTTGGTACATCGGAAATACTTCAGCAGATAATGGACATTAAAAGGATAACGTTTAAAAGGATTTACGTATTGATAGAAGTTGGAAAATTCAGAACAATTTCATTGCTTGTTTCATTTCTATGCTTCGCGTTCTCTTTTTACTGAAATTTCCGGTGCGCGCATCATAAATCTCGTTTCACCGAGTCATGACAGTTGCAGAGACGAGAAATCAATTCTTCAAAAATAAATCGCGAGAAACTTTTTTTATCTCTCTCTCTCTCTCTCTCTCTCTCTCTCTCTCTCTCTCTCTTGCTCTCACCGTAATGTCATTATTCGAAATGACCAAAATATTGGTTGATACTCAAACGAATAATGTAACAGGCGCCATATCGTCCGTTGCAAGGTAGATTGCGAGGTCGCGTGATCGTTGAAATTGGTTCCTCTGTACAACGTTGCGATGCAAAATAAGTAATATCCTCTCTGTCGGATACAACGTGCGTGTCTTTCAAATATTTCAACAAACGCGTCCTATTCCGTTCAAACGATATTAGCTCTTGGAAAATATACTGGCTGATCGTGAACCTTCAGACAAAATAACGCGAAATCAAATCCGTGTCAGAACGGCGATGTCTCACAACGAGACTGAGAGAATGTAACTGGGACTCGCGTGTGAGAACTTGTATGTTATTTCCCAAAGGGATAAAGCCCCTCCTTTTCCCGTCAAATGGTTTTAACTATCAAATATCTTCAAAGATCGTTTGCGATTTCTTTTACGCGATTGTTGTAATGTTCTCAAATATTGAATTTTTTTGATGAGGCAAGAGAGAACTTTAATAACCAGTTTAATTTATATACGGACGGAGGTAAATATATTAAGAAATAGCTTACGCTCAGATCCTGTAGATTCACACAAGTTGTATAGTTGCTCCATATTTGATTTGATTCGGGATGACGGAACCACGTGCCATTCAGTTCGCAGTATTTATGCGCCATCACTGCAACAGAAATTGTTGAAATATTAAATAAGATGTATAATGTTGCGATATTGAGAAATGACATCGAAATTTATCGATTTTTAATTAATGCCGAACTTTAATGTCACGTTGGCGTCGGCTAATAAGATTAATGGAATTTTATTGCACGGTTAGTTATTTTACTACGTCATTTTTCATTAAGATTAATTAAAATTCCATAAATTTCTTTTTAACAAAGAATATTATAATTAACAGTATGATGTATTATAATGAAGTATATGTTTCGATTTTATTGTCCCATACATATGCAGACAGATAAAAAGATAAATTCAAAACATGCACTGAGAAAAAAATGATTAAAATTACCATATAATTTAATTATGATAATTTATAATCACTTTTTGAGACAATATAATTATATATTTACAGTTTTTTAACAATGCAAATATAGTCAATTGTGCTATTAATAATAATTACACACACTTGAAAATCTTTAGGTAACATATGTTTTAGTTATTATTATTACATAAATAATACAACTGAAAATAGATATATTCTCTATAATTGCAATTTTATTTATTGATGAATAAAAATGTTTATTTTATTCATCATTTTTGGTATTTTACTATTAATATTTGAAATTATTATAATTTATGCTAAAATGTATAATTTATGTTAAATTTTTCATATCTAAAAAGATTATACATATAAGATTATTATTATTAACATTTTAGCAATAATAATAATAAAAATAGAGCTCCTAACCACAATTATTTTATCGTACAATTATAGTGCACAAAAACCAAACACTTTTTTATTAATGCCTTAATAAAAAGAGAATTCATATGTGATTATATAATTGACATAGCGCATTGTTGTTTAAAAGAAAGATGAAGAGAGACGAAAGAAGAAATACTATATATCTATATATATCTTCTGACGCTAACTGCGTAATCATCCACAAAGTTACGTCCGCTTCTTGTCAAAGCTCGTTCAAACTTCCCAGCGAAACAACAAGCTAATTTAAAATTTCTCGATGCAGAGTAGTTTGTAAAAATTGCGCATCAACGTCGTTGCATCAAGAATCAAGAGTCGACAGTCCCCCATTAAGTGGATTGAGAGACGGGATTATTCCTCTCTGCGAATCCGTGGTTTAATAGTTCGCAAATAAAATAAAATGCAAACTTGAACTTCAGTTCACTTCTACGAAACGCCGCCTAGTTAAACTTATCTTTGGGAAAAATGTACTTTAATTCGCGTAAAGCCGCCTTCTGGCATTTTAATGCTCTCTTCGCGCTCTTTTCCGGACTTAATTAGCTAATAAGGTACTAGTAAATATCCGGAGTGTATGCAAGAAATGAGTTAATCTGTGTAATTACATTTCTACTTGCCCGAAGCACGCGATCTCTGATCTTTAGGTTCCATAAATAGAATGACGCAATACTCGATATGCAATTCTCATATGTAATACAATTTGTAAAAGTAGATAGAAAAAAATAGATAGCAGAGATATCGAAGTCATACATATTTTTTTGAATATTTAAACTAAAATTATTACATTTTCTAACATTATTACATTTTCTAACACTTTATTTGATCAATTATTTGGTTGTTCTAATTTTTATTATTATTGTTGCAATTTAACGAACGTTATTTTAAATTTATGTATTCATACATATTTTTTGTGTATTTAATTGTAAATATTAGAATTAAAAATATATTCTCTTCAGCATATATATATATTTTTAATTCTAATATTTACAATTAAATACACAAAAAATATGTATGAATACATAAATTTAAAATAACGTTCGTTAAATTGCAACAATAATAATAAAAATTAGAACAACCAAATAATTGATCAAATAAAGTGTTAGAAAATGTAATAATGTTAGAAAATGTAATAATTTTAGTTTAAATATTCAAAAAAATATGTATGACTTCGATATCTCTGCTATCTATTTTTTTCTAT